GATCAAAAATATGTGTTCAGTTGAAAATAGCCCATTTCGGGCAATGCTATGTGAAATGGCAATGGGAAATCTCTCACACTGTACACATGTATTAATATTAATATACAGTTGTACTCATTAAACTGCGATAAAAAAGATGTATCTGTATACAAGTATAAATTAATACATTACAAAAGTTCGTTTTCCCAATGCGGGATACTAAATAGATATTTAATAAATAGAAAAAGTGTGGCTGTCGAATTGATTCAGTTAGTGCAACTGCTAATGAAACGAAACGAACCAGGCAACTCGGGACGGTGACTTCATTAGACAATTCAGTTCGTCGCATAGTCCGTTCGATCATGAAAACTTTCATTAAACGCTATCGAATTTAATTCTAAATCAGCGAAGCTTAATTCTCTATTGCAATTTGCTTTGTAATTCAATAGTGTACTATTCGCTGCAATTCTTCTACAAGCCAGACGAGGATGATTTTTTGCCAGATTGTCGTATATTTGTTCAAAATTAAGCCAATGTAAATGATACCGTATAAGGGAAATAAAATTTTAAGAGCATTAGTTCAATGCACAAATAATTTTTTTATAAAATCAGTTATATCCTTGTTCGTTCACCTTACAAATTCACTATTCTCAATGAGTTTGAAGATCATTGATCAAAACCTGCATCCAGTTTATAAAACGTCTTATCCCCGTCCCAAAACGTTGCTTGAGAATATGGCGCAATTTGTTTCATGCGTTGATTCGACCCGAATTACGCAAAGAAACTTCAACAAAGATCGGTGGTGTGATGTAATATATAGCAAGTGCCTATTCTATAAATCACGAGCCATTGGAATGGATTCAGTTTATTCTACTGTCGAGGAAAGGAGCGTAGAATTGAATTTATTAAAATAACAAAGATTTTTTAAAACTAGTATTCTTAATGTTCAATGAGCTGTTCTGATGTAATTCTTATAAGCTAGTATTATTAGAAGGCAACCCAGTGGTTGCACTTTTTCTGTATGATGACATTTAAGGGTCGAGGGGCCTAAAAGCTCCTTGTGTGAAAAGATCCACCCCCATTATCTAACAACAAGCAAAGTATAAATTTTTTTAACGATACGATACAATTTTAAAGTAGAAGGAAAAGGATGTATAACTAGCTTTCGCCTTAATTCTTACAACATCGATATCATAAGATAAACGTCCATGTATCAATATTCATGATAATAGTATGTTTTACATTACTAGTCTTTTAGGTTTTGGGCACTGTTCTTTGGTTCACAACACACAAATATAATTCTCATGTATACTTTGTTTTATAAGATGTATTATTATTTTTAAGTTAGATATAACAGTTTTTTCATATAACCTTTATAAAAGCTTACATGTGGGACCAACTAAATCTTTACACTAGCAAAGGTGTAAACATCAAGAATATAAATAGTAAATAAAACAGTAAATTAAGTTAAAAAGCAATTTTACAGGACATAAATTAAATTAATCCATCTCTGCTAATAAATATTGCTTACAAAATACTATATCAAGGTTATACGCGGTTGATCTATGTAATACATCTGCCCAAGAAATCTGGTTTTTCGCATTGGTTGAATAATGTGACTATTATTTCGTAAAACATCTTTAAAATTAAAAATAAGACATTGAATCTGCCCCTTTTTACCCTGCCCATAGAGTAAAAAGAGACAGATGAGAAAATTTAGAAAAATAGCAAAAAGACATATTTCTATAATTAAAAAATTCTTAACTAATTTTACTGAACATAGTTAGATAGTTGGTTATTTGATATGTGTTATGTGCTGTGGTTTGGTTTTCTCAGTAAAATTACTGAGAGCCAAATTAAACTTTTGTGCCCATATCTACCCATCTACCCAATATCTAATTCCCCGAATGACTATTTTCACTTCCAACCATATTTAGATCTATATATTCATGCAAAAACTGATATAACTACTGCTTGATATCAAGCTGTCCGAGACAGAAATAAAACCTAGAAAATTATTGTTGCAGAAGGAAAGCTCTACGAACAAGTTTAAGTGACAAAAAATAAAAGAAAATAAGTTTGTTATATACACATTTCTCAATTTGTATGCTTTCCTGATTTAACAATGATATGAAAGTGAAAATCATAATCACTTATAATATAATTTTCGTAAGAAGCTTAAAATTTTAATCCATATAAATAAAATTTGCATCATATTGAATGGAAATATAATGATATTTACTTAAATGTTTTAAAACAATTGTAATTTTACGAAAGCATGAACTTTCCGATACGTGTAAATAATAGACTTCAATTAATCTCATATTAATTAAATAATATCGAGATTTAGAGAATTTTCTGGCAAAAACAAATTTCTCCTTTGGAATTTAAGGGGGTATTCTGGTCTAGAGGTATGAATTTTGTGCGGTTTTTGAAAGACCGTAAAAAACTAGCAATATTGAGAGTATAAAAAAAATAAAATCAAAAATAGTCATAAAGTTTTAATTAGTTAGTGGACAATGGGTTCCAAAAAATTGGCACCTGACCCATGATTTATGTACATTATTTTTTCTAAAATAATGTTATAATTGCATGAACTACAAACAAGTTAAAAATTTTTTCACAAAATAGCGACAGTCTGAAATAAAAATACTTTTTTTACAACTTTTATTTTGATATTCTTGAATTGTTTAAAAATAATAATAATTGGTATTTGGGAATAAGCGTAGTTCATACTCAAGAGAAATCTATAAAGAAGATTCTAAAAATAATTTAAGTAAATCGGTCCAGTAGAAGTTGAGAAATCGTGGGTCTCGTATCAAAGAAGACAGATTCAAGGAAAACTATTAGTTTAAAAGTTCGCAGAGGAAGGAAACAGCAGACGATTATCGTTGTCAAACAACTATCTCTCCCAAAATAATTTAACTTCTCCTCTTGCAAACACTCTTTAATAGTTATTCTTTAAAAATATCAAACAAAAAAAAACAATTTTTTTTATTATTCTAGACCAGAATACCATTAATAAACAAATTTGTATTTTCATAGAAAAATGTTACAACCTTAAACATATTATTGAAAGCTATAAAATAAAGAATAATACAAAACCATTTTTAACCAAAATCCATTTTCTAGCTGTGAAAACAAAACGAATTCTTACAATTAGTTTGGAAGAGGCATAACATAGCCGGTAACAGATTGCACGACATTAAGATGGCGACGTTGAATAATCGCATTTACTTATTACTATTCTATTTTACCGCCCTCGAACTTTCAACCCGCAGCAGCAATTTGAGAAAACTTTTATTGTCGCTAGCTAAATTATTGTATTTATTATTATAGGAATAAAATCTATATAAAAATGTTAAGACTTGAAGATAATTAATACTAAAAATATGTAAAAAAATGAATATGTATTTTGAAAAACGCGAAGAAAACTGCACTAGTTTAGATATAATATGCTATATGCCTGGTGTGTAATGTGCCTTCTACGTTACGTAACCGCTATGTTTGACGTAACAACTGTTACGTAATATTAACGTTTTGTGGTTTACTGGGCAGTGTATCACATCAGATTTTAAACCAGCTGAATCAAGCCTAGATATATAAGTCTAAAATTTCTAGATATTCAAGTTTAAATAAATCTTCTATTGTTCCAAAATTCGTAGATATAAAAGTTGTTTATAAATCCACCATAAACTAGGTGTAAGTAAAATTTTGCCTTAAGGCAATTTGTAAACACTTCCCAAAATATGTAAATAATCAAACTTAATCGATAATAATTGTGATTTATTAACAATCGTCACATTCTATCGTCTCAATTTAAAATTGTGACGATAGAATTTTGAAATTTTTGCACGACTCATTTTTCCAAACTTATATGATTTTTTATAATAAATCAGTATCAGTATCAATTGTCATTTAAGTTTCTGTTTACAAAAATTTACTTGAGGCTAAAAAATACAAGAAACATAAAAAAAACCACAATTACTTACCCATTATAATAAACCGAAAAAGAAATCGAGAGGTTTGTCGCAATTTTTTCACGCTGCACTTCACAAATTTGATTAATATTTGTTATTTATAAAACACGGTAAAAATTTGGACAATAACAATCACAACTGACATTTAACAATGGACGTTAAATATGTACGTTAAGTATGAACTTGTCTGAACCGTGTAGTGTATACCAACATTATAAAAATAAATTACAAAATCAGAAATATGTGCATTGCAGCAGGGTGCCCCATGTAACAACTTGCCCCACCTTACCCCAATATTTATTTCTATTAATAATAAAATCATAAAAAAAATACATTGACATAACGCTATATTTGCAAACGCGTCTCTTTTGGCAGTTGCCTATCTAGCCATCCGAGTCCGTTAAAGTCATTTTCCCCACTACAAATAATTTTTATATTTAAGCCACTTTCATGAGTCTATAATACTTAAGGGTGTACTTTTTGGCCGACAACTATATATCCATACATAGTTTCCAAAAAGTACTTAAAACAAACAATTTTAATCAATTATGAAGACACAGCTAGACCGATCTTCAGCTGAAAACTGTTCCGCACAATTTTTAACTAAGATTAAAAAAAAAACAACAAAAAAGAAGTTTGAGCGTTTATATAAGCTGAGAATGCAAACAAGTTAATTATACCAAAATTCAACTATCAAAACTAATCAATGCTCAAAAATTTAGTTTTATTAATGAATAGATTTTTTTAATCTGCGCTGCTGTTTTCAAGAAAACGCTCACGATTAATTAGTCTTCCAATACGCACATAAAAATACATATACTTTCTGAGCCAAACAATTCAGAAAACCCTAAGAAAATTAAAGAAAAAATTTTAATAAAAGCTTCAGTTTCCTGTATAAAATAACAAGTAAAAAAGAAAAAAATCAAATTGTAAAGACACAACAAAAAAATATTTAAATTAACCACATCTGGAAAGAATGAGATATTTACATTTCAAAAACAAAATGCAGAAATATATTATATTAAAGCTATGTATATTCACCTCAAAATAATTGGAATCTTGAACAATTAGTTAATCCTCATATTATTCAAAAAACTAGGTTTTTGATCGACACTTTGGGAAGCAATTCTGCTTGTAATTGGAAACTTATTTTTTGTACAACTTAAGTTCAAAACATTCACTCGCAGAGCATCAGTCTTTTGAATTGGTTCAATTTTACTTGAGGTAGAAGCTATGCAGTTCTGTGAACTTTCTTGTTTTAATTCTTGTGAAGAATTAAATTCATCTTTCTTACTAAAACCTTTATTTCCCATAGAATAATGACTCTGAGAAGTAGAGGCTTGATCATCCGACTCTTCAGTATTACTTTCTGTATCTTGATGTAAAATAAAATCTAACGATGGCAAATTGGTTAATATATATTCACATTCACTGAAAAACTGATTGAAGTTTAGGTCCAAAAATAATTCTTGGAGAAACCTTCTGGCATTAAGTCTATAGGTACTGTTTGACATACTGTTACACATATCAGAATACAAACAAATGTCCTGGAAAGCTAGAGGATGAGCTTGTTTAAGTTCTAGTAAAGACTGTTTCGATTGCTTATACCATACTGGATTGGCTGTTCGCTGAATATGTTTTAAAATCAAAAATGTTAACTTCTTATCATCTATATGAGTCATGCTAAAGCTTTGAGAAATGCTCTCATCACAATCAATAATTTTAGGCAAAACATTTGGTTTGAATTGAACTTTTCCTGATCTACAACACAGCAAACAGTTTTGTTTATCATGCTTAAATGATGTTTCATTATCAAAATTACTCATATCAAATTGAATATTATAATTTTTCTCAGACAACCAGCCACTTGATTTATCTATATCTTGATTTATAGATTCATTATTCTTTTCAGTTCCTTCAGATGGAAACATATCATTTATATTTATGGGAAGACAGATTCCCATATAGCAAGGACCAATATTATCTCTAGGGTTTTCTAAAGAATCATGAACTTTTGTAAAATCAGTAAATGTCCGTGAGGAAAATCCACAATCTTTCCAAAAATCTAAAAGTTTGCTATCAGATTTACTTTCCGTTTTACCATGAGTTTCTAGAGAATTCAAGGAAGTTGTACTACTTTGCATATTAGTGTTATGGTTTTCACTAGAATAATCTAAAAGAACAGTCAATATTAAATTTTTAATAATATTTACAAAAACTTAATTCATAAGTACAAATGAATTTACCGTAATCGGTGGTCAGAGCAGTATCAATTTTTGAGTGGTCTGATATTGAACTATAAAAAAAAATTGACAGCTATTAACATAAAACACAAATGAATTATTAAAATTTCTAAATAATCATTTATATCTCAAAGTTTCTGTCAATCTCAAAATCTCTGTCAATGATCACATGATTTTGTATTATTGAATCCAAAAATTTTTCTTGTCATGTTAGGACAGGGGTAAAAAAAATAATGATAATGATAATAATAATATTATATATATATATATATATATATATATATATATATGGTTTGGTATGTATAATTTCCTCCTTTTATATATTTATATTTATCATCACTTGTGCATTTATGTTAAATGTTTTTTAGATTACTGAATGATGACACACATCAAGTGTCGAAACGTATAATGGAATAAATAATTTTGTTATTTATATATATATTTATATATATATATATATATGTATCAAAGTTTACCTTGTTTCATAATTTCTACCAAATGTTCCGTACTCTTTCCAACTACTGCTGGAAAAAGAATCAGAACTTTTCTCAATATCAGGATTTGCTAACCAACTTCGTGGTTCCCGGTAAAAAGATTGTGATATCAATCGAGATTTATTTAAGGTTTCATGAAGATTATCCTTCAGTATTATTGGCCATGTTTCATTTCTGTTATGCTGAACACACACCCAACCTTATGCATAAAATTGTTTAAGTTACATAACAATTGATCATGATATGTTATAATTTTATTATGAAATAATTTACCTAATTTTCGTAACAAATTTGCACCAAAGAATGTAGAACCAATCAAGCCCAGAGCAAAGAAAGCAGTTGCTCGCACAGAATAGACTTCAGAATATTTAGCAAGTTTGATTATGTTACATATAACGTCTTCACAAATTGAATACAAGTATTTTAAACCTTGTGCACTCGTTGTCATATGTGCAATTGCCCAGATACACGCCTTCATATGAAGAATGTCATTTTCATTTGAGCTAACCCCTTCAGCTATAAACTAAAGATTAAAAAAAACTTACGTAGAAGCAATTGATGATATTACTAAATATTACTGAAATTTTACCTGAATCATTTCGTTTATCATACCATGGCCTTGTAAAATTTCTAAACCGACACTTGTGCAAATAATTTGTCCATACAGATGTGGGGGCAATGTGGGCAGTATTAATGTGTTACTATTTCTAGTTGAATTCACTCGTTGACTGTATGTAATATCAGCATTGCGATTGTTTTGTGTTAGAGAGCAATGTGTTTCTGATTCAACAATTAATACATATCTAAAATTATTATATGTGTATTTAATAAATCATCTTACATAATTACTGATATTTCATTAATCAAAGTTACCTTTTATTATAGTAATTTGCCCAGTGTTCTACTTCTGTGACAATTTCTTCACGTGTCATACAATTTAAAGATTCTAATTTTGAAAATAAACGTGTTCTTAATAATCTTCCCTGATCTCCAAGAGTTAGCAATGTTGGCCAAATTTTCATTAGCTTTTTCAAATACAACTATTGGCAAAATATTTATTTACAAAATTGTTCAAATAATATTTTCTAAAAGCAAAATAAACCTGATCATGACAAGCTTCGGTCAAAATTTCCAGAGCAACTTGAGAAATGCTTGTTTCCTTATCATTTATCTGCTTAATTAACAATGGCATTCCCCATTCAACAAAGTCTACAGCTTTTGTTCTAAGTAAAACAATTAAAAATTGAGTAGCATACAGTCTGGATTTTAGAACAGGACTCTGAAGCGCTGCAGCTAAAAATATTAATATAATGAAAAAAATGCAACTTCAATATTCAAAAATGCAGAAATAAAAATTTATTACTTAGAATTTTTCTGGGACTTGCATCTAACGTGTAATCTAGTCCAGAAACAATCAATTTCACATAACAAATGTGATTAGTTGTTTCCACAATATTAAAAAACCTAAAACAATGTATATAATTAATTTAAATAATTTAAATTCATATGAGGTCAAACTATTACATACTCTGAAAATATATCGGTTTCTTGCAGTAATTCTAAACCTTTCTCGTATTTGCATAATCTACCAATGTACAGAAAATACATTTGGCATAAAGTGGCCAACATATGTTGAGGACTAAAAAGGCATTCATGAGCACTTTTTGATTTGCTAATGGCAGTAACATGTGAAGAAATATCAGTAAACAGTTCAAGCAGAAGACATGTATAATCAGGCTGAAAATGTACAATATAAATATTTCTCATTAGTAGAATGACAAGCAGTAAATAAATTCTTTTTTTGCAAAAATGTGTAATGGCAAAGCTGATGCCGAGACTGATCAATTTCATCACCATAATTCATTTATTTGTGTACCTACTCACATGGGAAGATCGGACTAGCCAATCAACTAACTCAAGTCCAGCATATACGCAAAGTGAAGAATTTCGTCCATGTCCCAAATCTTGGTGAGAAAAACGATTACAACTTGGTGAAAAATATTGCACAAGTCGCCGAAAGAAACGCAAATGTGATTCATCAGAAACACCTTTTGGAGTGCTCTATTAAAAAAAAGAAATTAAAACATCACAAATGTGGCTGATTTTCAAAAAATACTAAAAATAATAATCACTTTTAAAACAGCTCTCACTACATTCCAATTCCAAGAAGCACCATCTTTATCAATTAAAACATTTGAATCTCGAATTAAATCTTCAACTTTACTTAGACCCGTAAAAAATTTAAAAATCTTATTTTTCTTTGGCAACTTTATAGATTTCTCTTGGCTTACATTAGAAGTATCAAAATGTGATATGTCTGAAGTCGGACTTTGAGATTCATTAAGATTACAGTCAGATTTAACTAAGCATCCTGAAAGCAATATCTGATCCAAAAATACACTTGCGGAAGCTGGCTTGCATTCCATAATTGCATTTAAGTTCTCCAATACTGAAACAGCAGCAAGAGCCTGCGGTTTGTTTGATGAAGCATAAGCTATCAAACTTGGCAAAGCTGGACTTGTATTATAAATTTCTGGAGGCAACAGTATATGCATCATATTTAATAATTTCCCTAAAAGATACAAGTATGTGTTTTGAAACAATTGAAATATAAGTAAATTATTTTTACATACCTAAAAGAATAGTAGCTCTAACTGAAATAAATGTATCAGAAGCTACGATGACCTCAACAAGGGCTGAAAGAACCCCTGAATTGAGTAAACAGTATAAAAGCAATGCTAAATGTTGTTCTGCGGGACTTGGCACAGTACTAACTAATGTAGGAAGAATACTACGACATTCTGCAACTACAAATCCTTCATTTAGTCGCCATTGATCCTAAAAAAAAACTCTTCAAGTTATATACTTTTAGTATTTAATTTCTGAGTGTTATTAATAATTATTAACCTGAAAGTCAGTAGGATCCAAAGCAGCCACCGCCACAGAATATTCATCAGTCCAAACAGGTTGTGGCAAACCCACTAATTCATACAGAAGATCCAACACAGCTCTCTACAATTTGATAATTAATGAAAAAACTACAAAACTATTTAAATTAATTCGGATTTGTATAATGATTTTAATACCCTGACTTCTAGTTGGTTCAAATACAAAATGGATATTATAGATGAAAGACCAGAAGGTTTATCTGGATTACAAAACTGTAAAGTTCCAGCCCAACTACGTAATACTGATAGCAATGCTAATCTGCTACATGTGATCCGAATATCTCGAGCATCTCTGAGCACAATACATTCATAT